CCGGTGTCGATTTTACGGGACACGTAGAGTTAAAAGCCAATAAGGGACGTGGAATCAAAACGGTTAAGGGGTATATAGCAGTATTCGTTTGCTTGTCCACCAAAGCTGTTCATCTGGAACTTGTTTCCGATCTGAGTACTCCAGCATTCTTAGCAGCCTTCCGAAGATTTTCAGCTCGTCGTGGTGCACCTAGTCATATGTATAGTGACAATGGAAGAAATTTCGTAGGCGCCAATCGTATCATTAAGAAGGAGTATCAAGAAATCTTAGCCAATATCAACACCGATCTATTTGATAACATCAGTCACATGAACGTAAGCTGGCATTTCAATGCTCCAGCGTGGCCAAGCGCAGGTGGTCTTTGGGAGGCAGCAGTCAAAAGCCTTAAATATCATTTAAAGCGGATCATTGGAGATCAAAAACTCACGTACGAGGAGTTTACTACTCTACTTTACCAAATAGAGGCGTGTCTCAACTCTAGACCACTTTGTCAACTGACTGAAAGCCCTGACGATGACTTTCTTTCGCCAGGACACTTTTTAGTTGGTGGCCCAATTCTATCCAGGCCACAGACAGATCCAGATCACATCAATCTCTCGACGCGATGGCAACTCGTTCAATCTATGAATAAACAGCTTTGGAAGCGGTGGTCAAGCGAATATCTTCAACAATTGCAGGCTAGATCAAAATGGCGTAAACCAAATAGAAATTTCAAAATTGGTGACGTAGTCCTTATCAAGGAAGAAAATCTACCACCTGGCAAGTGGGCATTAGGACGCATTCAAGATGTACATCCAGGAAAGGACAACTATGTTAGAGTGGTCAGTCTAAAAACAAAAGGTGATAACATTATCAAACGTCCTGTCAACAAACTCGTGTTATTACCTACCAACGAGGACACGGCACAAGATCAAGCTATCGATCAAGGAAATTCTTCCAACCCATCACCGCCATCATCATGTCAACAAAAAAAGAGTGAGCGTACTCAACGTTCTCGTAGAGGAATATCATTCAAGAGCCTATTCATTCATTCATTATTATTCATTTTCATGTTGCTATCCCCTGTTCACGCACAAAGTACCAACAATCATCAATCATATAATCTGACGTCATTAGATGAAAATCAAGCAATTTACTTCGACAGACTGTCGAACCTGCAATACATCAAGGATGAATGGCGTCTAGTTGTCTACTATAATATGACTACCTACTGGAAAGGCTTATCGGATATCAAAAGTTACGTCAATCATATCAAAACAATGTGCATCACTCATTCAAGTAAACAATATCAGAGTATCATTGTTCAACTAGAGCAGGAAATTAGTGAAATTGAACACTATGACATGTTACTTAAAAATACAAATGAAGCACCTATGAGATTAAGAAGAGGTCTTGTAAATGGAGTCGGTTATATCGCAAATTCTCTATTCGGTGTACTGGACGAAAGGTTTGCCGAAAAATACAAAAGCGACATCGAACAGATCAGTCACAACGAAAAACATCTTCAAAATCTTATCAAAAATCAAACCAGCATCATGGAATCCGAATTCAACATTTTACGCCGTAATGAAAACGTCATGAATAAACAATTCTCCTTTATCAATCAACGGCTTCAAGATTTAGCGCGTGAAGTATATGAAGTACGTTTGGTTAATCAAGACAATAACTATATCACGTCATCATCTTTAGCTGCATCAATCATTCTATCAAACCTTCGATGGATCCAGCAGACTTTGATTGGGACTGTAACGGATATTTCTCATGGACGTATCGACAGCCATTTACTATCTCCCGAACAGCTATCGTATCAGCTGAGCATCATCTCTAGTCAGCTAAATGGTAAACTTACTATACCAGTAGATATCAAAAACATCAAGGACTTGTATCGATTACTCAAGGTTTCAGCTAGGGTTATCTCAAATTACTTAATCATAGAAATCAAAATTCCGCTTTTAAGCAACGAAATGTTCGAGTTAAACAAAATCATCTCTATCTCTCAGAAACAAGGACAACACTACTATCAATTTCTTACATCAGTATCATTTATTGCGTACAATCTGCACAAGGATACAGCTTTTCTTCTATCAGAAGAAGATCTAAAGTCGTGCACTCATATTCCTAGCGATATATTATTGTGCTCATTAAACATGCCCATTTACGATCTAAAAATGAAGCAATCCATCTGTGACATTAAAATAATTAATCATGCTCACTTATGTAAGTCTGTAAAATCGTCGTGCGAAGAGCGGTGGATCAAGTTGCACAGGCCAAACACCTGGTTGTACACATGTTGTCCGGAATGCCAGGTTCGCATTATTTGCGCGAACGGAGTGACAATGACCCATCTTATAAACAATGGCATCATTACTCTAGGTCAGGGCTGCACATTGAAAGGGGATACCTTTAGTATTTATGCTCATAATAACTTTTTCAGTAATTTGAATATTCATCATCATATCGAAGTCCCAGAGGTGTCTATGCTTAATCGAATTATGAAAACATCAATACCCGACAATATTAGTATGGTCGAGGATCATCAGGTTATTTGGGATCAGTTAAGGGCTCAGATTGACGAGGTTAAGGAACAGTCATCAACAGATCTGAGCATTCATGATGTTCACCATTACACTGTGCTATACATCAGTGTAGCCGCGGTGATCATACTGGGTGGCGTCGTCGTGTACCTCATCAGGAGTCGTCGAGCTGCGGCTAGGGCAGCAGCGTCGCCGGCCCCCCAGGGCCAGGAGGCTGCTGGGGCGGGGCCGGCGACAGTCGCGCCGGTGGATCCGGCGCCAGTGGCGTCACATCAAGCGCGATCAGTGCTTAAGTGCAGTGAAGTGTTCACGGTCAGTGGTGTAGATAAGGCTACTTCGCCAGAATCTATGTGATCAGTGCGCTCCGTGACTAAATTGGTTAGGTCCTACGTTTTAGTGTATATTTTATTTTACATTACATTATAGCACCTAAGACTATCTTTGATTCATCACCTTGTTATCATCCATCATCCTTTTATACAATTTAATTTTGATCACATTATCTATCTTCTTTGTCCTTTCAATCTTTTTCATCTCAATCGTGTTTTATCTATCTCTTTTGAGTGGGCAGGATGTACGGAACCGTACATTATTTTAACTACTCACGCCCGTGCGTTCTGCACACTCAGGTTTTGTGTATATTGCAAACAATGCAAAATGTAATTTGTGTCTTTTATAACGAATTATAAATCAATGTTAATCTAGCATTCAAATCGGGTGGTATTATTTCTATATCCTTATAGGATTAACCCCTCATCATATCGTATCATCAAAGGTGTAGGAATCTTCTACAGTCTGTCTGTATGTTCTTTATAGAAACAAAAACTACTCGACGGATTTTAACAAAACTTGGTACAATTATTCTCTATACTCCTGGGCAGGTTATAGGATACTTTTCATCACGCTACAAATAATAGGAGCAGAGCAGTGAAGGAAAATGTTGGGAAAACGGGAGAAGTTACTCCCTTTTGTAAGTTTCAGTCGCGTGTGTAACCTTAATGGTTAAACTTACATAGAAATTATGTATGACGGAAATATTTTAAATAAAATTGTCTACATAAAATGTTTTACAGCATATGTCTATCTTTTATGGTTAACTCACAATAACACGTGTAACTCCTGATAGCTTAGCAATTCGGATAATAAGACATAGCGCCGTCGCAAGTGAACACTGAATCATGGTATAAGAATAATTTTTGTGTAGCGGTTGCCGTGCTCGACACGATGCGGTATAAAATATAATATAATATAGGTTTTATCAAATATTTGTAACTCTTACCTATTAGTTAGATCCGTGCCTTTCTATCTATGGACGGACGGACTACGGAGACTTAGTAAGTAATAGGGTATTTACCCATTGGAGATGTACCCATAAAAATGAGACGATAAATACCAAATTTTATGTATACTTAGATTTTGTTCTATTGCTATTTGCTGCTTTTTATCAACACAGCACGCGGGCGTAAACTAGTTATAAAATAAAAATGGTGATTAACCACCCGCACCTGCCACAGACGGATGCACGCTGTGTGTGGTTAAAACGTTGATGTGTCTATGCAATCTTAGTTAAACATTTATGAAATAAACACAAAAATTGTCAAAAATCAATTTTCTGAACGATGATGAAAAATTATCGATATGAACCTATTTTACGAATATGTCGCATCCCTAAATGAGTAGCGTCGAAACTACTAGAATGTATTGTATATAACGTCACATAACGAACAAGTAGATTTAAACTTAATTGTAATAAAAATAAGGCCCTTTATAGTTTGCATTGAAGTAATGAAATGTGATATTTACATTAAAATCAAATATATTTAAAATTAACAAAGGTTAATACTCAAAGATGATACGATACCCCACCACAAGACTCATCTTTTTTTCTGCTTACTTTTTTGCAGTTGAAAACCGCACAACAAGGCATAATTTCTAATATATTTCGTGTTTCTAAGAGACAACCATGACAACCAATCATGACAACGGATCGAACGATTCTGACAACAAATGTGCCAAAATGTTGTATATCTAGTCATGATGTTGGTTAGCGCGCGATGTCTGAACGGCACTTCCACTGTATTTTCTATTCCGTGTATATTACTGTTCAATGTATAACTAACATTTATACATATTATGATGGTTAGTTAATGTATTAGGTAGAGTTACTATGAAAATAAGAGCTTCAGGCACATAGCATTAAGTGATCAAGAGAAACATATTAGGAAGCTATGTTTAGTAGAAAATGGTTACCTATTAAATATGCATAATATAAATAATATAAATTGTTTTTTCGGCTTACATATACTATTTAGGGACGCCCGATTGATTTCTAGCCACAATACATAAGGACTTCGGTAGAGCTTGAAATTAGTCGGGCGTTCTCGAAAATTGTTGTAATTTTAAGTAAGCCGTATATTATTTAAATTGGCATGTTTTATGTGTGATATAATAATGTTGGTTGGTTACCTCGAAGCCGAGCTTGTACATCTGAAGCAGTAGCTCCCGGACGCGCACGACGACTGTTTCTGTGAGGTCACGTGGTAGCTCCTCGTTTGCAGCCAGTCGCGACTTGTCCAGTACAAACTCAATGTGCGACGTTATGAAGTCACGGATAGCCATTATTGAGTTCTGTGAAGTAGATATTGTATCAGTATTGAACCTAGGCGAGATTAGTTGAATGTAGTTTCGATCATAACAAAAAATTTCAAATATTTTGGCAATCAAATTTAACTGGTAATAAATAAATAAAATTTGATTGCCAAAAAATTTGAAAGTAATTTTAAATGAAACTGAAGATTGACAAACGTTAGCAGAGAAAATAATAATGAGTGCGGATTGTGAAGTTTTGCACTTTTAATGGTTCATTTAAGCCTTCGAATTTCAGGCCTCTAATTTTTTTCCATCTGTAAAGGTTCTTTTTTCGGTTTTAACGTAGTGAATATTGTTCGTTGTGGTGGCCTAAAGGTTAATTTTCCGGATTCTCATGGAAACCTGGCTAGTACCAATGTTCTTTTACCAAGGTACTTCTATCATTTGGACACCACTGACATACTTACGATGAAAAAAACATGATGAGAAAACTTGGTCAATTTCTTATTATTTTTATTGTAAGTTTGAAATCGCCAATCCGCCTTGAGCAATCAATGCTCAAACCATCTCCGTGTGAGATGAAGCCTTTGCTCATCAGTGGGCACTTATAGGCTGATGATATAAGTGTCTGAACGACGATATTGTTTACATGGTACTTGTAGTCGCGTTGTATTCAAAATCTTTAGATTGACAAGTTAAATTAAAGGCAGATGATATATGTATGTGTGTGAAGGTAATGGTAATATACGTACGAAGATATGTCCTCGCTGCAGCAGGTATGCGGGGGGCGGGGCGCGCGCGAGTCGTGCGGCGAGGGCCCGCGCCCACTGCGCGGCGTGGAGCGTGGCGTCCCGGGACGACGCGTACATACGCTGCGCGCTGCGACACACCTCGTAGATGGCGTGCCGGCTGCTGCATCACCACGCTCGTTATACACTTCAGCTTTATTACTATTTTACCCTAGGCTTCCTTACCGTCATTTCACTACCTATACCACCCTATCTAGTTACCAACCTACACTACCCTACCTAGTTACCTACCTACCTACTCTACCCTACTATACCTACCCTACTCTACCTACCTCACACTATCTAATCTACGCTACCCTCTCAGGTTCTGAACTGCATTCCCACCAAATCTCAACAAAATTGGTTTAGCCGTTCATAAGTTATTAATAATGTAAATAGCACGTTTTACACGTCTTATATTTTAATAGATTGTTTGGTTTCAAATCTGAATACAATCAAATATACACACAAAGTTACGGATATGAAATGAATCCAACATGGTTAACAAGAAAAATATTACATTTTAAATACAAAACGGACTGCAATCTAAAGCATATAACAACCTAAGTTTCATTATGAAAAAGCAAGAAATCTTCACTAAAAAATTAAGTATATCTTTACCAATTATATTTTTATAACCAACTAGCGGCCCACCCCCGCTTCGCACGGGTTCGCACTTTTCCCTAAACTTCCCCCCCACTTATCTAATTTTTCTTTGATAAGAACCTTCTCCTGACAATAACACACATAACAAAAAAAGAATCAGTAGAATTGGCCCAGGCGTTATTGAGTTATGCCCTTACCAACACATTTTGCGATCTCTTTTTATATATAAGAAGATTAGCCAGTATCCTTTTTTTTCTTCATAATGTATAAAGATGCGCAAGATTAAAGTAAAAAATTAGAAAAATTTAATCTAATTTTAACCCGTTCACTGTCAAAACTCAATTACATCCGTTCTTACGCGAAAGAATAACAAACATACTTAAAGACTTTTGTTTAGTTAAGTAAGATTTTTCAAATAATCGATTGAGAAGAAAAACCCAGCAAACATTTGGGCCCGACTAGCCTACGAGGTATATAGATATTCTCCCTAAAATAGCGCAATTTCATCGAAAACTTAAATAATTTACCATAATAAAAAAAAACTTAGGCTTCATTTACCTTGGGCATACATTGCTGTAACTGACCGCGTTATCGGTAGCGCTGATAAAAACAAGTAAACATTGTATTTATCACCGTAAACAAAGCCTTAGTGTATATGTACAGAAGAGTACCATAGAAAAACATATTTTGTAAAATAATGTACTTACTTATCGAGATCTGTAATATCCTTGCTCTTATTTTTGATACTGTTTATCGATTCCTCCTTGAATTGTTTCAGTAGTCTATCCAGCTGGTTGCACGTGATTTCTCTGAAATAAATAAAATCATTCGCTAACGTCATTATGATGAAATGCAAGGTAGTGCAGTACAATTAGCGAATTAGGTAAAGGCAACCAATTCAGTCAATTTAGTAGTTTGTCAAGTTCGCAAGTCAGTAGGGTCAACCATGTCAGTCAAGTCAGTCAGTACAGTCAAGTCAATCTGCTCAGTCAAGTCAGACGAACCAGTTCAGTCAGTCAAGCCGGTCGATTCAACCAAGTGAATCGAGTCGAAAGAATCAATCAGTCAAGTAGTAGGTTTTAAGCAAACGAGCCTAGTTAGTCGAGATGGTGAAGTCAGGCAAAGTGTACGTACGAGAAGGCCTCGGGCGCGAGTACGGCGGCGCACTTGATGCGCTTGGCGAGCTGCGCCGTGAAGGCCCACTCGGCCTGCAGCCGCGACCGCGGCATGTGCTCCGTCACCGACACCGTGCTCAGGTACGACAGGTATTGCTGGAACCCAACAAACATAACTACATTCATTTGTCCACTAATCAAGTAATACACCTCTCTTCCAAAAAGTTTAAGTGCCAATATCCCATAAAGTTAAGAAATTTCTGATCTGGAGATATCTTGAGAAACAGAGTAAGAGATGGCAGTTTATGGTTTTTATCAATAAAAACCTTCCTCTGCATAAGGATTTTCTCCTGTGTCGTGGGTACCTTTATAAACATACCAATTCACATACACAAGCTACTCAGACCTTAAACAACAATTTGTAGATCACACAAAGTGTTGTTCCGAGGGGGAATAGGACCCGCATTGCACAGCAGCCAGTTGACCAACCTCTGCGTCAACCATAGTCACAAAAATCAGGATATATCAGACTATGTCACTTAATTATTAAATTGGATCATAAAGCCGGGATAGATTAGGATAGTTTCAGCCAGGGCTGCGATGCAAGCGCAATAAGGCACTACGGCCTCGGCTGGAGGAGGAGAAGGAACCGGGAGGGGGGAGGGGGAAGTCTAGTCGATAAGAGTGGGAGACACTTCCTCTCGCCCTACCCTGGGCGGGAGCAGTCATTTGACGATTTTCCCTTTTTTTTTTTTATGTGATAGGACGGCAAACGAGCAGACGGATTACCTGATGGTAAGCAATCGGCGTCGCCCATGGACACCCGCAACAAAGAAGGAGTTACCAGTGCGTTGCCGACCATTTAAGGATTGGGATTTTGGGGATTTTGGGACTGGGAAGGGATTGGGGTAGGGGAAGGATTGGGCCTCCGGTAACCTCACTCACACGGCGAAACACAACGCTGTGGTTGTTTCACGCCGGTTTTCTGTGAGGCCGTGGTATCACTCCGGCCGAGCCGACCCATTCGTGCCGAAGCATGGCTCTCCCTTCACAAAAAAGCCGAATAGGTAGATTGAAAATAGCAATATTGTAATCAAATTGATGGTATACCTTAAGCAGTGTCTCCACAGTGGTGTCGAATGTGTTGGTGAGTAGTATGAGGTCGTCAGCGGCGCGGCCGGGGGCTCGGCCCCCCAGCGCGGCCTGCACGTGGAGGGCGAAGTCCGCGCGCATCTCCGACGCTATGTCCAGACCTTCGCGGATCTCGTGGATCAACTGTAATTGGATAAACATTTGTATAATTTACTTGAGTGATATTCGATTATGAGTAAAATAAATTGTATGAGTATTTTAATGATGAGGATTATATACCATGGAATTAGTGAAAAATATCACTATTATACTGTATTCCCCTCAATATGAATTGTGTCCAATATGACAACAGAAGTTTTAAGTTAATTTTAACACACAGAGTTATTCCTAGCAGGAAACGAATCGGCGATACGTTGTGCGGCCGCCAGTTGCCCGGCCACCGCGCCAACCATGCAATCAATTAGCATTTATTTCAACTAAATTATATACAACTACTTTGGAAATGTGAAAATATAATGATAGTCTGTTCAAAATGTTTATTTGTGTATGTAAAATGTAATGAAAAAACAATAATTTTTAAGGTCATCAATGCATTGTTTAATACAATTTATTATACTCACATATGAGGGCAATACAGAGAGCCATTTTTTTATAAAAAGAATAAAAATAAACTATAAATCAAATCAATTTCTCATTTTTCCGGATATCTAAAAACACTTTGATATACCCATACTTATATAAGATAGTATCAATTTGTTTATAACATAATTATTACAAATAGTGTTATAGTCACATAAACAATAAATAAAGAAAAAACCGTAAGCAGTACCTGTTTGACGGTGAGACATGAAGGATGTTCAGGCCTGGCCTCGAGTCGGAAGGCGAGGTAGTCGTGCACGGCCTCCATGCACATGCACGACAGCAGCAGGAAGTGCGCGCGGTACGACGGGAGCCGCATCGAACGACACTCCTCCGACCAGCATCCGTACCTGGGGGAGTTATGGTGAGAATGTACAGTTTCAAAAGTGAAATTGATTGCACTCTAACAATATGAAAATGTTCAATAATGTAAAAAGCAACCTGTCTGTCATTCATTACTTTAGAATCTATGTTACAAATGAACCAGTCAAAGAAACTCTTAAACATTTGAAAAGTGCAATTGCACTTTTGATCGCCACTGTACAGGTGGAACAGTACCTACAATCACCTAGTCAAAACAAACATAATCATCATCAGCCCATAAGTTCCCACTGCTGAGCAAAATCTTTTTTCACACTAAAAGGTTTGAGCAATACCCATAATCACCATAATTATTTGCTCAAAAAAAAAATAAGTTCAGTTGCCTCACGATGTATTCCTTCAGTGGTATCTAAATAAAATAGTAGTAAGTTATAGGGAAATTTTCTTATTATGTATTTACCCCTCCTTCACGTCTATTCACCCCTCGAATGAAATTCACCTTGTTTCGCTATTTACATATAACTCGCAAAGGTTCACTTCAGTACTTGCCAGGTTTTCACCTAACCTCCAGACTATCACGACACAATTTTTCTCTATATTAATAATCATCACAAAACCTATTACTCACGAGAACAGGTCATAAACCACCCTTTCTAGTCATATTTTATAAGATAACATGTATACTAACCTTCGTAGCTCGTAGGTCTTCATCTCGTCCTCATCATGCGCGGAGTCAGGTCTCTCAGTGGACGGCTCCTCGAACACCTCCTCCGTCTCATCATCTATGAAGCTTTCTGATTGTACCGTCTATGGGGAGAGACACAGTAAGTAATTACATTTTCATTAAGCTTCTTTTTTTTAAAAATACTTGATAAATTATATTGAAGGGTAAAAACCTGTGCTGGCCTCCTAAAGTCTAATTCAGAGAGAGGGTCTTTCTTGAATTAAATATGAATAAATCTTGAATAGTAATTAATATGTTTATATGCTAAATTAAGTAATTTTTCGTTCACGAATGGGTCGGCTCGGTCGATACCGCGGCCTCACAGAAAAACCGGCGTGAAACAACCACAGTATTGTGTTTTGCCGTGTGAGTGAAGTTACCGGAGGCCCAATGCTTCCCCTTTCCCAATCGCTCCACAGTTCCTAAATCTCCAAATCCCAAATACCGTAACTCCTTAGTTGCCATGGGCGGCGCTGATTGCTTACCATCAGGTAACCCGTCTGACCTATTACATAAAAAAGTAACTATCGTAAGACATTCTAATTCCATTGAAAATAATGACTTACGCATGTGAATGAAATAAGAAAAGCTCTACTTCTTCGTCTGCTTTCAAGTCACAACGGGACTCTTATTCACGAGTAGCGTGCGCGTCGCGGTGACGCGCTTTAAACAATGGAGCTTTTCTCAGTTAATTTAAATAATTAAATTAATGAATGTGAGTTTTACTTATTTATTGAAAATAAAACGAACAGTATAGCAGATTAGTTTTCAAATTTCTTATTTCTGTGCTTAATCTCATATCAATCGATTCAGCAGTTTAGTAGGAAAAGTGTGCAAGTATACTCGTATACTAACGTCTGGTTTCTCGAGCGTGAGGTAGACCTTGTCGAGCAGGTTGAGCCGCATCTTGTATATGAACATCATGCACCGCCGCACTCCTTGCGTCTTCAGGATCTCCTGGTGGTAGTCTCTGTAAAGTAGAAGACAAGCTGTATTTACTGATTATAGTGATTGCCTTATATAATATATTTATGTATGGAAAAGCCATGCTTTGGCACGAATGGTCGGCAACGCACTCGTAACTTTAGCGTTGTTGCGGGTGTCCAATGGCTGCACTGATTGCTTACCATCAGGTAATGCGTGTGCCCCTTTGCCAACTAGTTATATTTAATTTTACTAAAATGTCTAAAACGATACTTCACTATGAATTATGCATGATGTCAGAAATTATAATATCAGTCAGAAAAATGTTTTAAAAAATACTTTGTTATCGAATTACGGAACATTCTTTAAAACAGTAATACTAGGCAATGAAATCAGGTTTAGGAAAGCTAGAACATATATACAGAACTAGCTGTACTCAGCGACTATAGGCTATGTTTAAGGTGAATAGTATAGCTTCTCAATTATTTTTTTTCTCCTCAATAATATTAGTATCAACTATTAATATGGAAATGAATATATGCAATTTACCTGTAAAGCGAAACCTTGCACTTGTCTAGCAGCCTCATCTGTGTGAGTTCAGCTAAGCCTCCAATTTCGAATGCGTCGTTAGCAACGGGCGGCCCCTCGCTGGACATGTATCCGCTCTCATTGGAGGCATGAGGGTCCCCCCAGCGGTGGGACCCGGCCAGGTCCGGGGTACCTAGTCCGTTGCAGTCTGGTAATTCTGTAAAAGTATTTTTTAGTTTGAATACGTCATCATGAATTATTCGTTGCCGACCGCAGTGATACGGCGTCACAGAAAATTGGTATGAAACAAGTAAAAGTTTGGGTTTTATTTAGTGCGTGGCTAGCAGAGACCCAATCTTATCCCCCCAACCCCGTCCCCCAAATGCTGGGAATCAAATCATGTTACTTCTCTGGGTTCCATGTGCTCCTATGGTCTGATGGGAACAATGTGTTCCTATTGTTCTCATCAGACCATACATCTATATACTCAATTGCTACTCTGTGCCATTGGAAGAGATAAAAAATTGGATAGTTAATTGAAACGTGTAACTGACACCATTTAAAAAAATAATATCAAAATAGTTTGCAAATAAACTCACTACAATCATCAGCACTGTCGACTTCGTCCACCGCTTTATCAGCGTCCCCGTTGGCTGCGGGCTCAGCCTGCGCGGGCGCAGCGCTCTCGGCGGACTGCGCGCTACTGTCGCTACTGCTGGAGTCTGACGGAGTGCTCACGTTGAAGCGGACTTGGCACGGACGACTCTCCGACGATTGTCTAGGGATATGAGAAATAATTTATTAAAAAGCTGAAGTTTTTTTTTTATATGTTTACTTGCACAGGAGAAAGGCAGATAGAGTATGATGTGTGAATGTAAAATAAATATATCGACATATTCACTAGTAACAAACTTGAATTGTTCAGTTAAAAAGTAGAAGTAACATACTTTTGATTTTACCACCATCAAATTAACTGTTAAAGGAAATCAACAGCGAACCATTGGAGGCATTGAAAAGCCACTTGCGCGTTACTCGTATGAAAACCAGCCTATGTCTTATTCCATACTATATAACTTATCTGCTCGATGCTCAATGGATTTTAATGAAATCTGGTAAGGGGTTTTTTTGTGAGGGGAAAATCATCAAATGACTTCTCCCGCCCAGGGCCGGGCGGGAGGGAGTGTCAGACTCTTACTGACTAAAAACCCATGTTCCTTCTCCTGCTCTGTGCCGAGGTCGCGGTGCCTCATTGCGCTTACCCCGCAACACCGGCTGAACATCAGCCCGTTAGGGCCCCGTCTATAAATTTGGTTAGGTTATGTAGTAGTATACCTGCTGATGGAGGAGTCGACGGAGGTCCGTTGCTGAGCCTGCCTGCGCTGGCTCTTGAGGCGGATGGAGCGCAGCATGCGGCGCATGGCCACCAGCTTCAGGCGCATGTGCAGCGCCGTGTTGTACCACAGGCACATCGCCTGGGGGAGGGGGTGGTGCACTATTATAATACTTGTCACGCAGGATATAAGATTCAATATCGTGGAGCAAAGGTTGGCAACGATCAAAAAACGTTTTGTAGCTATTGAAACAATTTTACAATGAATTTATTTTTTTGCAAATAAGCCATAAAACGGTACGAGGTCTAATTATTGTTTAGGATTATTCATTGAACTATCAATACATACGAAATAAGAAAGGCGATTTGGAATTACATAAATCATACATCATTTAATTTAAAGTCAAACTTACCTTGACCCTATTCTGGAACAGCGGTGTAGCGACGAGAGGGTGCTCCGTGGTCATGTTCCTGGAGGAGGGGTAGAGGGAGACAGCGCCGTAGAAGGAGTCGAGTAGGCCCGCCACCTCCCGCATGGCGCGCCCCACTGCGCCCGCGCACCACTCGCACGAGAACGACAGGCAACCCAACTGGGCCTCCTCTAGGATATCCAAACACAATTACATCATAACATGGCCTACTAAACAAACTAATTTTAGCCTAACACGAGTATACCAATAAGCATTAACACCGAATGAAATTAAAACTAGATAAAAAAACAAATACATCGCACTCTACAAGGTGTCACGGAACTAAATAATCTATATACCTATTTAAAAAAGAAAGTCGTGTTAGTTACACTATTTATTACTCGAGAACAGCTGGACCGATTTGGCTGAAAATTGATAGGAAGGTAGCTAAGAACTAGGAGAAGGACTGGGATAAGATAGAGTAGGTAGTGTAGGTTAGGTAGAGTAGGGTAGGTAGAGTAGGGTAGGTAGAGTAGGGTAGGTAGAGTAGGGTAGGTAGAGTAGGGTAGGTAGAGTAGGGTAGGTAGAGTAGGGTAGGTAGAGTAGGGTAGGTAGAGTAGGGTAGGTAGAGTAGGGTAGGTAGAGTAGGGTAGGTAGAGTAGGGTAGGTAGAGTAGGGTAGGTAGAGTAGGGTAGGTAGAGTAGGGTAGGTAGAGTAGGGTAGGTAGAGTAGGGTAGGTAGAGTAGGGTAGGTAGAGTAGGGTAGGTAGAGTAGGGTAGGTAGAGTAGGGTAGGTAGAGTAGGGTAGGTAGAGTAGGGTAGGTAGAGTAGGGTAGGTAGAGTAGGGTAGGTAGAGTAGGGTAGGTAGAGTAGGGTAGGTAGAGTAGGGTAGGTAGAGTACCATATGTAAGAAGGTAATTCTGGTACAGTCGAAAATTTTAATACAATTTGAATTAACCACCATTTAAAAACATTGATTCTCGAGAAATTTTATTGTACTGAAATGGCTGCGTGTTTGTAATGTGCAATTTGTGTTTGTATTGAAATGGACATGATATCATTTCTTTCGGTTTACAATTAGTACCTACGAATGAAACTTTATCTTTTGTTTTATTTATTTATTTATAGTCACAGTTTGTGTGTCGTCTTCGTTTGATTTATTTCGATTCGTTACAGTCTGAATGGTGGACTTAGTGTCTTAAGGAATTCTCTAACAGTCAACGATAGATAAGTGCAGAGAAATGAAGCAGTTGGTGCGAAGAAATTAACTAAAACTTTATTTAAACTAACTTATAAAAGACAAAACCTATAATAAAATTATAAAAGATTGTATGTTACCTTCGCTTGGCTCCTCATAGTTCTCCTCGGCAGTGAGATCCTCCTGTGACTTAATGGTGTCGAGAGTGCGCTTGCTGTTTGCTCGGCACGGGTTCTTGTTTATAAACCTGAAAGACAATTAAAGTCAAAGTCAAAATCATTTATTCCAACAAAACCACAATCAGGTACTTTTGAAACGTCAAAATCGAAAATAGTCAGTCAGTCAGTTCGCCAGTGAAGCTAGGTGCTCGTTCCCAAGTATAGATTCGAATGGGGTAAAACGAGCAACTCCATCACCAACTCCAATGTTGCAGTGGTAAATATAAAATCTTACCATCATCATCATCATCATCATCAGCCTATAAGTGCCCACTGCTGAGCAAAGGCCTCTCCTCACACGGAAAAGGTTTGAGCTTTAATAACCACGCTTTCGCAGCAGTTTATAACCGCGCGATGTCGCGCAGCCTACTGAGTAGGTTGCGCGACATCGCCGCGTCCGCGCACGCTGCTCATTAGGAAGAACCCCTCTGTGGTTCGAAACTAGTAGAGCTTTTCTCAATTACAAGCGTGAGTAACCCGCGATTTTTAGTTAATTTAGTATGTCTCACGATAGTTATTTAAAAAACATGTTTGTAAGTTATAATTTTCAGTCACAAAAATCTTAAATTAATAAATTATCGTGTAATGTATGTCAACAAACCTATATTCAAGAATATTATTAATAATCTTGGGTACGACGTTCCTCTGCGCACACAAGTACGCATCCTGCTGCGCCAGAGTCCGGCCAGATATCTTCGCCTGGAGCTCCAGCCAGATCAAGTCCTTGAGCTCGTTCTGCCAGACTTGTTCCTCGCGGCTTATCTGCAAAAGTACTATTATTACGACCTTTTTGCATATTGCATCATATTATGTAAAGATTAAAAACTGTTTGATTTGACTTAGCGACAGGCATCTATGAGTCACTTGACAGATGTATATTTTTCGTATGTATGTACACACCTTATAAATAAAAAAATGTTGAGCAATCATGGATTCCTGTGGTTGATTATTGAGACTTAAAATTTGTAAAAAGAATTAATAGGTCTAATATAATTTTCTGATTATCTATATTTAAATCAGTAATCATTCAACAGTAGACACAATCAAGAATAGTTGATCAATGAATTTGGGGACTATGGACTTTAAAAGGACTTTGCGATAAGATTTATATTATATTAGCAAGAATAGAAATAGAAAACGAAAGGAGAAATAGAAAAAGAAAAGACAAAGAAATTGGACTAAAATCAGATAGGTATAATGTTCAATCTGAGAGTTTTGTTTATTTGTAAGAAAGCGCATATCTTACGAACTGCTGCTGATTCGAATTGGAAAAATGTTTCAGTATAGGATGATCTTATTATTGAAGACAAATATAAAACGCGCTACTTTCAATACAAACCGAGAAGCAGGTAAAACAGTGCGGGAGTAGCGAATTACTTAGTAACTTCACTATAGTGTTAGTCTTTGATGTTAATACAATAAATTATTAGATTTTGACTTAGAAAGGACTTCAAACACACATACCTATACTTACTATTATTAAATAGGTGAATAGTTTGTTTATGTGATAACACTAATCTAACAAACTACTGGTTCGAAATGAATAATTCTTAAGTCTAATAATAGACAAAATCTTTTTTATTTATATTCCGTTTTAAAACATCACTTTACAACCAGCACGAGCCGAGCAAGTACTGGCTACTTATAACTTCAAAGATTTATTGATAAGTAGATAATTAAGAATAGTAGGTATACGTATACAATTTAGAGAAGCAGAAATAGTGTTTTTAATTTAGACATTTCTCATCAGTAGACCACACAGTAGACCGGATAGCAGACCAGACAGAAGACTACTTTAGCTATGCCATATAACATACATTACTCACGGCTCTCTTACAGCCCTTCTCGATGTTGCCCATGTTGATGAGGAGGCTGAAGGTCTTGTGGAAGCTGACGCGGCTGGGGGGGAGGTCCTCATCACCGTCACATCGCCACCTGTCCTCCGTGTCGGCCGGGATTGAGGGCTCCGGTCCAACAGCCTCGCGGTGCTTTGGCCGGGACGTAAGTGACATGAAGCGACTGCATGACTCCACCTGCGAGTGCAACTATACCCTTCATGTTGGAGTACTCGAATAAAGGGACAGGATTAAATCTATACTAATATTATAAAACTCAAGAGTTTGTTTGTTTGAGCGCTCCGGAACATTTATCGAGGTAGGCTTTAGGCTATAAAACATCACGTTACTATCTGTAGAAGCCGAGAAGCGAGTGAAACCGCGCGAGATTAGCTAGTAGTGGATAATGCAGGAGATATTTTTATGAATGCACATTGAATCTTAAGTCAATAAAATTATGGTATAAGTTCTATGTAATGTCTATTGCTTGGCACAATTCAAACATTTGTATTATCATACCTAGAGGTTTGAAAAAGACAATTAGGTACCTATTATACTTATCATATTATGCCTAACCTTTTATATGGATGTCATGGAGTCAAAAGAGATAATAACAAGATAAGTCACAAATCGTTATTACGATTTTTAACTATCCCATCTATCCCACCATATCCATGGGATATAACTCAAAAACAGCTGGACCAAATTTCATAATTTTGCTTTATTACACAGAATAACAACCAAACTATGTATAATATACTTACCAGCGTAGGCACGGCAGGCATGGGGTTGGGTGAGGGCAGCGAGTCTGCCCTGACGTCGTGGCTCATGTCCTGTTTACTGTCCCGCGCCCGCGACCTCAGCAGCTTCAGACTGCTGCGCTTCTTCGGGCGGTCTGGCACTGGAACATTGTGATAAGACTTGTAAGATTTGGCTATTAACTATTTCATATAAATTACATACAACTTTTTAAATACAAACTTTATAAGCCAGGACGACATTCTTATAGATTAAGATTGAAATAAAAGGTACATTAAATGTTTGGAAAAATATTTACTTTTTATTCCGCGACAAAAATCCAGGCTTGTTGCAGAATGCAATCCCACTCCTATGCAATCATGCATACATACTCGACGAGCGCCTGTGGAGTGGCGAAACAAAAACACGTGTCGAGTGTAGGTTTGATTGCGTGGCATGAATTTCCGTTTTTTGTATGTGTGCATATGCATGTTTACCTTTGCTGCATGTGCATACGTATGATTTCATAGAAGTGGGATTGCATCCTGCAACAAGCCTGGATTTTTGTCGCGGAATAAAAACTAAATATTTTTCCTAACATTTAATGTCATGGATTTCCGCAAAGTAACGCCTGATTCTATAAAATAATAGGTACAGCTTAATATTAATATTACAAAGGGAATCTAAACATGTTTACAAAATTTTATTCAAGATATCTGCATCAAAATTTACTTACTGAACTTTATACATAATTATCTCTTTAATAGCTGTAGGTATGTTTTTATAGGACCGTTAGTAAACATAATAAAAAAGAAGAGGGCTAAAGAAAAAATCTATAGGTAGTAACTGTACAGAGATAGAAAATTAAAAATAAGTTTTTAATGGTATAAGATCTGATAAGAATTAGGAGATAAATATTAAGCAAGCCAACAAGCTTGGGATAAGGACAGAAATAATTGATATTTAACGATGACAAAAACAAATAAATGATGGAGGATTAATTATACAACACTTACTGGGAGACGTCTGGTCATAGGTGGGGTAGTCCACAACGTCCTTCCTCTCGCGGAGTAGACGCTGGAACCCCGGGGTGGCATCCAGATGGTTTCTGGAACAAGCAAATAGATCATCAATTAGTTTACTTTTTTAATTCACTGGACAAGAATAGACTTAAATACAAGAAAAAATCTTTTAACAATATAACTATGACACAAATTATTATTTTTTAAATTCTCTTCCAAAAACGTATTAAGTATTTTATTAAAGACTTAATTCTATAAACAACCTTAACTTATAATCCAACATGACACAAAAAGAAAGAAAAAAAAAACAATTCAAATTTTAAAAAAAGAACGACTAGTTATCAAAGACGCTTGTTTTGTATGCCCTATCTATGGCCACTAACTACACCTCATGCGTACGCAACGATCCAACGACTCGTTTGAATGTATAATAGATAAAGTAATAAAACATGCTACGTCATCGTTAGTGAAGTCATGAAGTCTGCTCGTCGACATAGGTGATAATAATATGATGTAGAGTAGTCTTGAAATCGTAAAACTAAAAATTGCACGTCACCCATTGACATTTGGAACGGTGAAAACTGTTTGTCATTGGCACGATTTATATATGGAGGTGTGACTAAATAAAATGAAGAGTAATCATTATTTTACATAATAGAGCGTGTTAGTAGGGGAGGCCCATGTCGAATAGTGCAAGGAAATGGGCTGATGATGATGATGATGATGATAAGAACATTTTCATAAACATTACTCTACCTATATGGGAAAATTATTCATCAAAAACCATGTTTGCAAAAAAAACATTTTGATGATAGTTTGTGATAAGAATTTTGAGGTAAAAAATATCTTTCTTTTGAGGTCGTAAAATCATCACATGACTTCTTTTACTGATTAATAGAAAGTCCCAGTTCCTTCTCCTGCTCCAAATACAACATTCATAAAGACCAGAGGGTCTACCATGACGTGGCAAAGCGAATCTTCCGGGCGAGAAAGAGGGATGGAGCTATATTCACGCTTTAACACTGGGTAGGCCTACAGAATATTCAAACGATTAATAGATATATTAGATGCACGTGACCTTTCCCTTTGAACTGAAACCTCCAATTAGAAACGCTAGTCACCACGCTGTAACACCGTGATACGTTTTTGTGTTGTCATCATTAAAATATCTACGTTCAGCACTTAGTTTTAGAATGAACCGGTAGAATAGCCGGTACAGTTCAAGGTCTAGCATTTTTTCCTTAAGAGGTTATTAAGAAACATCGCGAGTTCTTTGGAACTTCGCACAAACATACAAACAATAGCGTTTTGATTGGAATCGCTTGCTAATGTTCCGGCTTCAGATGTGGGATGACTAACATTAGGTATCATCTATTATCTCTCTGTTAGTTACAAGCATTTTATCATAATATTACTAATTAGTCTGGTGGGTGTACGGATATCTGAGAGTCATTTATAATTTTTTGTATTATGTTATACGGCGGCAAACGAGCTGATAGATTACCAAATAGTAAGTAATCAGCGCCGCCCATGGGGGTTGCAACTGTGCTGTCGGTATTTTGGGGGTAAGTGGTTTTGGGTATTTAGAGCCTGGAGACGAAAAGAGGGAGGGGAAGGATATTCCTTATTAAATTCGCGTGTAAGGCTTGCTTTTAAGAGTCTTTACTAGTTTTTACTGGATCTATCACCACGACAGATCGTTTAAAAGGTCACATTGTGGTATGTCTCTATGTCTTCTCAGTTATCAAGTTTGAATTCCATCGAATAGATCTTTAACAAGAAATCATATTTATAAGCGCTTCACAAACTCATTTCCATCATTCACAATACGCTTTAATAAATTATGATACTTAATACCTACTTTAAAACCATTTTTCACTAATAACTCTGTCAATTGAAGTAGGTAAACCGCATCGAAATCGATACGATTGTTTTCGAGTTCATCGCGCACATACATAAACGCACAGGCGGACATCTTTGTATTCTAATAGTTCTGATAGACAAAACTATTATTAATGACAATTTAATGACCCATTGAATATACTAGGTAGTAAATATAAACGTGCTACGCATTAATTCACTACAGCTATTAACATTCCTTCATTCAATAAAAGAATTCCTTTTAAGAACCTAAGCATCTCACTCGTAGATCTCGCTTAAGGGATATGAGAAAATGGGATAAATGTTACCGGGGTTGCGAATGCAAGCGCAATAATAGCAATCATGTATAGCTCAGAGCAGGAGTAAGAACAGGGTGGTGATTAGCCAGTAGGTGTCTGACAGTTTCTATCCCCCATGTATAGCGATGGCAATAATATACATATAGCTCTGGGGTCTAACCATGACGTTCAAAGTAAGACTGTTTTAATCTTAATTCAGTGTGGGTAAAAGAAAGAGCTATACAAGTTGTCTAGATCTGTTTAATTCTGTTTCTAAAACAGTCTTACTTTGAACGACATGGTTAGCTCCCAGAGCTGGTGTAGGAACAGGGTGTTTATAGGATACAGGATAATTTTCCCACCTCATTCTCGTCATCCATTTAGTATGTTTACACACTGAAAGTATGCACTCAATCAATCATTTATTATGTAAAGACTGCACGGTTGGCGCGGTGGCTGGGCAACTGGCTGCCGCGCAACGTGTCGCGGGTTCGATTCCCGCACGGAACAACTCTTTGTGTGATCCACAGATTGTTGTTCCGGGTCTGGGTGTGATGTGCATGTCAAATTGTATGTTTATAAACGCACCCACAACACAGGAGAAAATCCAAGGGTGGGGCAAAGTTTTTTGAAAAAAAAAAAAATTGAAAACAGGTAAAAAAAATACAGATCTTATAGATAAAAATACAGTGCGCTATGTTCATACAAATAATAAAAAAAATATTAAAACTTCCTACTAATATTAAATAGGTAATACTTTTAGTATTTGGTACAGAACTTTTTGGTAAGGTACGAACAAAAATATCCCTTTACTCAAATAGCTACTACGAATAAAAAAGCAAACGAATGACTGGACAGACGATACATGTTTTTGTGGGCAACTGGGCACGTGTTGCTAAGTATATTATTATGTAGTTATGTTTGTTTATCAATTACATGTACTTACTAATAGTTATATCACACGTACATAGTACAATCTATTATCGACTTCTGAACTCAAGGACTTCAGTTCAATACGGGCCCACTGAAGTAAAATTCGAATTCTCAAAGACTAATGAGGAGAAAAATAACTCTGGGATTGCGTCATTTATGAAAAGATGGCTGGCTATAATACTATGTCTAGGAACGATGGGCAAGAATTTAATCAGAGCTGAATTTACCCCTATACGTATGTATATCAAGAAACCAAGAATATTAATTTACATCCATCGCTACATAGTATAAAACAAAGTCGCTTTCTCTATCCCTATATCCCTGTGTATGTTTAAACCTTTAAAACTATGTAATAGCTTTTGATGCGATTTTTTTATTATACATATAATTATGTATATCATCCGTTCAATTGTGGAGAAAATTAATATCAGCACTGCATCGTGCGAAGCGTGGGCAAGTCACAAGGACCTACTACATATACATATAATATATAAATATGTACTCAATATACTTAGGTAGGTAGGCTAGTTTATGAGTAAGTAAACAAAATGATTATAAAATATTGCACACGGTTGCCAAGTCATAATAATACTTTTAATAGAAACATGCGCAAAAATTAGTAGAAGAAGCGTCTAGTAGGAGTGTAAATGATTTAAATAAACATACATTTATGAAGTACAATATTATTGTTTTAAAATACACGTGAATAAATTATATTCGGCATCATGACTATGCGCATTTTTGTAGATATTTACGTGCAAATGATCACCGGACAACAGTGTTAGTGTTTTCGCGAGTGATAATAATATTTTGTTATCACTCGCGAACTGCTGCAAACCGCTTTGCCAATGACAAGGAGCCATGTTAGAATTATTATGTTGAGAGATTCGTTTCAAAATATAACCAATAACCTAGTATACATATGTATGTTTTTGACCTTTGACTCTTACTTACACCCGATTTCTGAAAGGCTTGTCAACGCTAAAATTAACTTATCTCCTGTTAAATCTCCAGTCAAGTCATCTGATTGGTTGTTGATAATTCAGACAACCAATCAGATGACTTGAGAAGAGATTAAATTGATTATAACATTGATCGGCCTTTCGGAAACCGGGTGTTAATCTCTTTCATTAGCATTAATTTCTTGTTTCAGATACATACCCGTCACACATTCAACCATTTGCAAACACTTGTGACTTCAAGCAGATTTTTGGTATAATCTTATGTTCTCGAGTTCCAAACTATGCCTGTACCAAATTTTACAGAAATCGATTCAGTAATTTAGGCGTGAAGAAAAGACAGACAGACAGACTGAGTTACTTTCGCATTTATAATATTAGTTTGGATTTGGATTGTATAATCTCTCAGCTCGTTTGCTGCAGTTTCTCTTAAAAATAATCTTAAAGCAATATTTATATAGAACAACTTGTATAAATATAGAACATTGATAAGAAGCAACCTATCTTTATCACTGAGCCCAACGATTGTACTTTGATCTATGATTAATTGCGTATTAATTACACATTAGAGCCTCTATGCAAATTATACAGCACATTACATAATTTCCACAATAATATTACAAACTTCATTATCTTCTTATTTTAGAATCAATTGCTGTTTGTTAGTCTCTCTAGACTAAATAAAAAAATATTATTTATATTTTAGGCTGCACTAAGTTTGCCGGGTCAGCTAGTTTCTTTTAATACTAGCGGGCCATCCCCGCTTCGCACGAGGCCAAATATCTCGTTCACAACGGAAAGGGCGCTTTTCCCTATTTGCCTCTCCATTTTTCTATTATTTTCTTAATAAAAATAAGAACCTTCTCCTGACAATAATAAATTATATTACAGAAAAAAAAATTGTCAAAACTTGTCCAATACTTTTTGAGTAATACGCTTTACCAACACATTTAGCTATTCATTTTTATATTATAGAATGTAAAAATATGTAACTAGGTATAAAAACATAAACTCTAATACTAACTTCCGAAGCAG